ACACACACACAAAGTACATGTTACATCACACACACACACTCACTCACTCACACACACACAAAGTGCATGTTACATCTCTCACACACACGTGTGTGTGTATAATATCACACACAGACACACACTCACACACACACAAAGTACATGTTACATCACACACACACTCACACACTCACACAAAGTACATGTTACATCTCTCACACACACGTGTGTGTGTATAATATTTCACACACACACACACACACACAAAGTACATGTTACATCTCTCACACACACGTGTGTGTGTATAATATTTCACACACACACACACACACACACACACAAAGTACATGTTACATCTCTCTCTCACACACACTCAAACACACACACTCTCACACACACACATACATATACACTCTCTGTTTCACACACATACACACACACTCTGTCTCACTCACACACACACACACTCTCACTCTCTCTCTCTCACACACACACACGTTGTGACATGTACATTGAGTATCAGCTCGTTCCCGTCACTGTAATGGTTACAGTACATCAGGGTACAATGATGTTTTGTTCACAGCTAGTTCACGTCACTGTAATGGTTACAGTACATCAGGGTACAATGTTTTGTTCACAGCTAGTTCACGTCACTGTAATGGTTACAGTACATCAGGGTACAATGATGTTTTGTTCACAGCTAGTTCACGTCACTGTAATGGTTTCAGTACATCAGGGTACAATGATGTTTTGTTCACAGCTAGTTCACGTCACTGTAATGGTTTCAGTCACATCAGGGTACAATGATGTTTTGTTCACAGCTAGTTCACGTCACTGTAATGGTTACAGTACATCAGAGTACAATGATGTTTTGTTCACAGTTAGTTCACGTCACTGTAATGGTTACAGTACATCAGGGTACAATGATGTTTTGTTCACAGCTAGTTCACGTCACTGTAATGGTTACAGTACATCAGGGTACAATGATGTTTTGTTCACAGCTAGTTCACGTCACTGTAATGGTTTCAGTACATCAGGGTACAATGATGTTTTGTTCACAGCTAGTTCACGTCACTGTAATGGTTTCAGTCACATCAGGGTACAATGATGTTTTGTTCACAGCTAGTTCACGTCACTGTAATGGTTACAGTACATCAGAGTACAATGATGTTTTGTTCACAGTTAGTTCACGTCACTGTAATGGTTACAGTACATCAGGGTACAATGATGTTTTGTTCACAGCTAGTTCACGTCACTGTAATGGTTACAGTACATCAGGGTACAATGATGTTTTGTTCACAGCTAGTTCACGTCACTGTAATGGTTACAGTACATCAGGGTACAATGATGTTTTGTTCACAGCTAGTTCACGTCACTGTAATGGTTACAGTACATCAGGGTACAATGATGTTTTGTTCACAGCTAGTTCACGTCACTGTAATGGTTACAGTACATCAGGGTACAATGATGTTTTGTTCACAGCTAGTTCACGTCACTGTAATGGTTACAGTACATCAGGGTCAATGATGTTTTGTTCACAGCAGACAGAGATAACCAGATAACGTTGTCGCCGGCCCCGGCCGCTCACAGATGTGCGGGGTCAGTTGTACAGAGGATGCACTGACTGGATCACTCAGGACAGACATCTGCAGCTGTGAGACAACGTGGCGCCCAACTCATCTGCTTGCATTTCAACGAAGACAAAACTATTTGTAGTTGTAGGTCCATTCATATAATTTGCGTAGTTGTTTTGACCTTTACGCCAAATTTTACTCTTTTCGGTGGATGCTCTGGACTGGTTATTCTCTTGCATTGCCAATTTATGTTGTAGGAGATATAGAGGTTATCACGCTTGTGTGTTTGGGGATGGTAAATATCCTGCATTAGGAATAAACATTGTATTTAGCGAGCCTTGGCGAGCTAAATACATAGTGTTTATTCCTAATAATTCCTTTAATTCTTTGCTTCAAAATAGCTTCCCCTCTCTCACAAACATTATCGAAACATTGCGAGTTTTCCTGGAATGCGCGCATTAATATTTATTACGTCACAGGGTAAGTGATGTGTCAGTCGGACAGTGACAGTAGCCAATATAGTTCCAACTGAAATCTGTTTCTTATGCAGTGGCGAAGCAACATATACGCAAACAACAATTGTTTTTAACTGCCTTTCGCGGCAATCCATCGGTCTGTCCGCTAGAGTAACTGCCCTTTGTCAAAGGGAAGCTACTCTAACCCTATAGTCTATGAGACGTCACGGCCACGTTCAGACGTTGTTGACAGTCGGTCGGTCCTGTCATAACGCTAAGAAGTGTAGTCAGATGTACACACAACGACAAAACGAAACAAGGTAACAATTCAAACATATTTCGGCCAAATCAAAGTATTATTTATTTACGGAGAAGGTTTCAAGCTGCAGAGGTCTACAACCACAGGTATGGCCACTGATCCCGCTTGGCTAGGCCTCGTGACCTCGATCGCCGAATGACGAGGGCGACGCCATGTTTGTTTATAAACAGTGAAAGTAGTCCCTACTTGACCTTTGATATTTGCATCTCTATCCGCATATGACCCCAACGGATATCGTTTTTATCCGTTGGCTTTATCCTGCCGAGAAACCTACCCATTATATGATAAATAGAGAATACTACACTCATTCTCGTTAGATACCATTTTTACGAAACGAGTGGACTTTCTATGGTATCTAACCGAGCTAACCTACCCATTATATGATAAAGCGAATTATTAGTAATGTCATTTCCAATAATATAACGTATTGATATCATATACACAAACTATTAAGGATCACGGTTTTAATAACAAATAATTTGTTTTTGAACACATTATCCAGTCTCCATACAAGATTCCAGCATCATCTCCCCCCTCCTCCCCATGACAAAAATATTAATAAATTATCAAATGGCCAGTCCCTTAGAGAATTTGGCCAATTAACATCATGTGTCATAACAATGTTTGTGCGATGTCTGTATACGTATCACCTCCGTGGTCCTGTGGTAGAGCGCCCCCCCCCCCCCCCCCCCCCCCACACACACACGTGTGCATGCGCGTCGCAATATAAGTGCTCTAATCTGGCATCACCTCACCTCACCTCAAACCGACGATTTATAATTAGCTCCTTCTTATCGGAGGCATGTATGCCTATGAGCAATAAATGTAAGCGCGACAATGCGACATTTGGATGAAATATCGCGTTTAGTTTAGCACTTGTGTTCTTTTTTCATCACATGACTTATGTAAAAGGCGACTGACTCAATATTTTAACATCTCTGAGTTTTTAATACTTGCAGCTAAATGTGATCAGTGTATGTGTGTGTGCATGTAGTATTAACGTGATGAATGGAGAGGCGGGGAATATATACGGAAAATATCGTAAATATCTGGAGAATGATGTTTTTACATAATTAATTCAAAATTGTTGTTGGTATGTTGCAAATGTAACGCCAATAGTTAGGCAGTTTGAGGGGGAATCAGGCAATCAGGATCCGACATTCATGTGAAGGTAAGATGATAGCTTGTGGCCTACGTGTATTGACAAAAATATTTCTTCTACGTATTTGTGACTGTTACACTGTTCTAGCATACGCAGGCAGACACACAAACATCCTATAGCATGACTTGTAGCATATTTTAACTCCTTTTAAACACATTTTAGATGGGGCGACAATACTACATATTTTGTCCTTTCAAACGCGACAATGCTGCCTGTGGTTGATATGATACATTGTCGCGTTTGGGGTAATTGTAATTGTGAAAACGTAAGGGTGACAACTCGACGTTGTCTCTTCTAGGATTCCATACTGGGATAGTTAAAGTTGAAAGTACGAAGTCTGTCATCAAGGCCTATGGGCCATTGTTTGCCGGTGTTTGTGTGACATAGTCAAGATAACACACCGCCTGACCAGTCTGCCTGTACAATCAGCCCAGAGAGCACTTTAAGGGAGTGATATGAGCCTACTATAACTGCGCGGAAGACTATGGGTGTCTTATTTGAGCTGAAGTCAAACAGCAACACACTGAAGCGACAGAGTGATTTTGTACAATGTACATCCCGTTTCGTTTGTGTTAATACGAGACTTATTCACTGTAATCTTGTGCAGGATTCGGTGTCATTTAAGGAGTTGTGGAAATGGTTTCATAATACAATCAAAGTGTGAGAAACTAAATCACAAGGTTGTTAACAGATTCTCACAAGGCATTATTATTGAATAGTGTCATAAGATATCGTGACGGGACAATACGAAATAAATATTGGCTTATTAATATTAGAACTTTATTTGGTGCAACGTGAACAAAGTATGTAGCATAAATTCTCCTCTGAATGTTTTTCAGAAGGTATTGCAAGAGGTTGCCACAACTGACCTGACGCGTTTACAATTTTCAGATGAAGTGAGGTGGAAATGGGTTTAACGTCGTGTCTAAGATTATTGCACTTATATAGAGACGTGCTGGTCCACTGAGATACCATGCCCCAGTTTAACATGAATGCCCCACTCAGACACAGTTTACCGACTTCAAGCCGACCAGTCCTCGTTTAAGCCCCTTAATGCCGAGCGCCAGGCAGGGTAACAACAAATACCATCTTTTGGTATGACGAGGCCCGGCATCGAACCCCGAACCTTCTACCCTCCGGGCGCACGCTCCCCCACTAGACCACGGAGGCCGTCTTACAACTTTCAGACGACATGATTCAACAATATTTTTAGTCCACTAGTTTTGTTACAGGATAAACCATTGCAGTACCCCTATCAATTGTTGAGTAGCATATGATCAGAATGTAGGGTAATTGTTAACTGTCTCATAAACGGTTTAGTTTCTGCGACCACGTAACGTGAGATCAAAGAGTCAACTACATGTTTAGTTTAAAATAACAGTTGTAGGTCCTGACTAACACGTCTAATTGACAAAACGTAAGTGCATTAAGGCAAATATGTGTATTGTGTAGATCAGTTCACCTTCCTCCAAATACCGGTATCATAGTCGCCTTTATCATTGTACAACAGGAAAATGACACAACCTTAATGTCGCAATGGACTTTCCCAGCTGCCTCCACTCGCGATAAGAGCAAGAGTGTGTATAAAGAAGCGCATGTATTACCTGAGCAGAACGTCCGAACGTCCGCTAACAGGTCAGGTATGGATCATTTCTCATTTTCATATTGTCCCCAGCGCGATGTATTAATGATGAGTGCCCAGCATGGTAATATTCGTGAAGGGGTGGCAGGAGATGGAGGCAATGTAAATTTTGCTTCAATATTTGTTGAGTCATAGTTTCGAGATATACAATTGTTTTCAGTGAAAGGAGTTATGCAATAGTGATCGAGATAGTGAGTGTAATAGCTGCGGAAGAGATCTGATTGATGTTTGTTGCACCTGTGATATACATATGTTAAATGGACGGTGTCCAGGAGACAGAGATGGTTCATTTACATGTTTTAAGACAGGTGGCGCCAAAATGCTGATTATTGTCTTTGTTCGTCAGAAAGTTTCGCCCTAAATATTGATTTTAGTATTGTTACCCGCTGTGAATCGGATTATTTTCCCATGGTATCCTCACTGAAGAACGAAGTTTAAACCAAGATATCTGTTAGTGAAAATATCGCTGAAGTCGATGGTATACAGAACATAAAAAGATGTATTTGGAAAGAAGTAGTAGCAGATGAGTTTGTTAACCATGTTGCCGATGCCCTTAGTACATATACTTTAGAAGAATGTATGCAGGACATTTATCAAGATGTTAATATGGCTGTTGCCAACTGGAATGTTTGTGCTTCTGTCAGTAGTTTGAATGTGAAGAGTAAGCAGACTGACATTTCATTCAAAAACCATGAGTGGTATGATCTAGAGTGTGAAAGGATGAAAAGGGAGAAATCTAGGTACTTGGATCAATTTAGAATATCTGGTTATTTAGAGGACCTTAGAACTTATCATATTTTAAGGAATCGATATGGGTGTATGTGCAGAAGAAAGAAGGAAGCATACGAAGACAATCAGATTAATGGTCTACGTAGTGCACAGGATAATAAGCGTTTTTGGAAGGAGGTTAAAAATCTAACGAAATATAGAAATATGACACCATCGTCAATATCTTCCTCACAATGGACTGAATATTTCCAACATGTGTTGAAGTTATCTGACATACCAGTTAATGATGATTTAATGGATGCAGCTGGTATTTTTATTTCAAACCATTCTGAAGATGCTTGTGATAAATGTATGAACGATCGATATATAGAAATTCTAAATGCTGACATTAGCAGTGAAGAAGTAGAAATTGCCATTTATTGTTTAAAAACAGGTAAAGCTGCTGGTCCTGATGGAATTTTGCCGGAAATGTTAATATCCTGTAAGACTCATATTATTCCATATTTGACGGTCATATTTAACCACGTAATGAACACTGGGTGTTATCCAGGCGAGTGGACAATGGACATTATTCAACCATTACACAAGAAAGGCTCTATCAATGAAGTAAATAATTATAGAGGAATAAGTTTAATGGATGTGTTTGGTAAATTGTTTATGACAATTATTAATCAACGACTACAGTTATTTGCCGATATCAGCAATGTAATACCGGTAGCAGAGGCAGGATTCAGGAGCGGGTACAGCACAATGGACAATATATTTACCTTACAATGTTTAATTGAAAAATATCTCTCGAAGCGCAGAGGACGTTTCTACTGCCTTTTTGTAGACTTCCGGAAAGCTTTTGACTATACATAGAAAATTATTATGGTATTCCGTTATGAAGAAGGGTATCCATGGAAGGTTTTGACAGTGCTACAAGATATGTATACAAAAATAAAGTGTGCCGTAAAAGTTTCTAAGAGCTCAGTCACAGAATATTTTAGTTCATTGAGTGGGGTAAGACAAGGGTGTATGGTTAGCCCCTTTCTTTTTACTATGTTTATTTTAGAACTACAAAATGATCTCGAACAATCTAATCATAGGGGTATAAATGTCGGGCAAGAATATTTGGAAATTCTCCTTTTACTATATGCTGATGATCTGTGCTTATTGGATGATACTGTAATAGGGCTTCAACGTAAAAATGCTGTCCTCGGGGGTTATTGCAAGTCCTGGGGTTTGGAAGTAAATACGGATAAAATAGAAATAATAGTTTTTAGAAGAGGAGGTTTATTACGAAAGACAGAGAAAGTGGTACTTTAATGGGAAGGTTATCAAAACAAAGTTATTACAATAACCTTGGAGTCATATTTTCAAGTAGATTATCTTGGACTAAAGGAGTGGAAACGTTGGTTGCTAAGGGAAATAAGGCGTTGCTTGCTCTCAAAAAGTTATATACCCTCTAATATTCTTGTTAAGTTATTTGATGTTAAAATAAAACCTGTAATATTATATGGTGTGGAAATGTGGGTTTTTCATATGTATCAATCTATTGAATCATTTCATACTAGTTTTTGTAAATTTGTATTGGGTCTGTGTAAACATGTATCAAGTACTGCAATTTTGCTAAAGTGTGGAAGAAACAGTTTGTCTGCTGATTATCATATAAAATGTATTAAATTCTTGTGTAAGATTGTTCATATGGATAACCAAAGAGACCCTTATCAATGTTACCAATGAATGAAAAGACTTGATGAAAGTGGTAGAACAACGTGGGCTTCTTATGTAAAACATTTTTTTTTATATGTTTGGATTTGGTGATGTATGGAATGCACAGTGTGTGTCGGATGTAAAACATTTTGTTTCAATGTTTAAGCAACGACTTATAGATTGTAACTGGCAGACTCTTCACGCTTCTATGTTTGATTCTGGGAAATTGCGATATTATTCCAAGTTTATAACTACTTTCTGTCCTGAATATTATATATCACTGCGAAGAGAAATCAGACGATATTTATGCTTATTACGGTTAAGTGAGTTACCATAAAGACCATTAAGAATTTGTAAACATTGTAATACTGGTGAAATAGATGATGAACTATATTTTCTGTTTAGCTGCCCTGCATATAATGATTTACGAAGTAATCATTTATGTTTTTTTGCAAACTGAATATGAAAGGGTGTTATTTACACTAAGTAAATGAACACAAGGAATGTCACATGGTTGACGAAGCTTGTAACATTTATCAAGAAAAGTTAGTATTCTGAACAATAATATTATGTAACATTTGTCTCTTGTCACAATGGATATCTATCTTTCATTATGTATAGGTATATAGGCCTTATTACTGTGAATAAACCAATACAGTCATGCAATTGTTTGGGGAACCACCAAACATGATATTCAACACGTCCAAAGGATGTTGTATTTAAATTCAAAATCTGAGAACAAAGTTCTGTTTCCAGCGTTTACGGGAACAGAAGATTTGTTTAAATCCTAGACATACCCATGGTGGGAGTCCAACGTCCATTTTTTGGGGCGTTTTTACCAAACATTTCCACCACCATACTACCCCAGCTCAAACTATATATTGGTATCAGTATTTGACGGGTTCGCGTACACTGCGTCCCTCCATCAGCCGTGCCCACGCACTGCCGCCTTGCGGTGAAGCCACGACCGGCTTCCAATGACGGTTCAGTTGACATCGCATTGACGAAAAAATTTCTCCACTGACACAGCGTGCAAAATGTGCCATAGTCTTGTGGTGCTTCACACGTATCAGGCCCCCCTTACCTCATTCCACGAGTACAACTAAACACACGTCTCCTTCAGTCAGCGTGTCGGCCCAATGTGTTCATGGGTATCCAGGACCGTCGTGTATGGCAGGAGTGCTGCTGTGCGGCGTCAGGCAACAAACAAACACGCACCTTCCCATACCACATATGTGAGTGGCGGGTGCCACCAGGGGGGCAGGAAGTGCTCACCCTTTTCGCGAACATCGGGTGTCACTGATGTCCAGCGATTCATTCGTGTATATTTCATCTTTGACGTTTACACCATATAGAATCTGCTGCGGAGAACAAGTGATACTGGTTAGTCCTTGGCTTTAACGTTTTATATTTACATATCCATGAAGTGTTGATGATGTCTTTAACTGAGCCAGTGAGTTGTTTGACATCGTCGTAGGGTGCACGACTGATACCGGATTTACCTTCTCCAGGTGCAGGGAGCTCCACATTGGATCAAAACTAATACCGACATCTATTACGTTATGACTATGAAACAATTGCCGTACATGTACTCTTAAAAGGTAGGGGACCATAAAATACAAAAGGTTAACACCAAGTATTAGAACAATGATAAGTGTTGACGACAAACGTCTAATCCAAGAAGACCGCCTCCGTGGCCTAGGGGTAGAGCGTCTGCCCAGAGAGCGGGAGGTCGGGTTTCGAACCCGGCCGCGTCATACTAAAAGATATTAAAAGATGGTACTTGACGCAACCTGTCTTTTAGCGGCTAAAACAAGTACTGGTCAGCCTAAAGTCAGTATACTGTGTCCGAGCGGGGTATTCATGTTAAACTGCGGCATGGTATCTTAGTGGGCAAGCACTATAAATCGGCATTGGTCCGGACTAGTACACACACACACATAAACACACACGTGCATATGCACGTCGCTATATAAGTGCAATAATCTGGAGCGCGACCTTAAGCCCCATTTCACCTCATCTCGCCATTTATAACACGTTTAGCTCTAGAAATGGAATGGAGTGGCGAGCTAGGTAAAACAACAAGAAGTAGGTAGTTTCAAGCATGTGTTTGAGGCATTCATAATGATGACTGGGTGTTGCCCTGAAAAGGGCCGTTGGAATGGTGGGAAGGAACAGTATTTACTAACTAACTTGAGTCTTACTAACTATCCCCCACAATACATGCAGACATACAAGGTGGCTGCCGGGAAAAAGTCGAATATGTTGAGCAGAATCGCTTTTAGCACCGAGTGCATTTGATGCACCCTCAATTCTGAGGGGACACTTTTACCTGGGTCGAATCGGTTGGTGTTGGTGTTGGTATTCCAGAGGTATCAACGCCAGTCTATTCTGACTTCCTGTTTCGCATCCTTCTGGGGGACGGACTGCATCTCAGACACAGTTCCTTCGGTGAGGCTGCTGTCTTGTGGACTGGCAGGGAATTCTGGCTTCCATGTTGTCAACAGTTAGCTGGACTGACAGCCTTCTCCAAGAATCCTGAGCTTATATTGGTGCGTGCGCCGATGACGTCAC